AGCTAAATGGCACCCTCCTTTGGCTCCTTTCCTGTCCCTCACAGGTGTCCCGGGAATCACTTCTTTAATGAACCCTGGTCCAAGATCAGCTTGTGGAGATCTTGGTCATCAAGGAAGCTTCCTGCAGGAAGCTTGGGGGGGACTCTGAGGGTGAAGAGAGGGAGAAGGAAAGAGGCAGAGGAAGATGCCAGGAGGAAGGACAGCAGGTAGAGATAGAAGGAGCTGGCAGGCGCCAGTGTGGCCGGAATCTGGGGCATCCAGGGTGAGTGGTCTGGGGCCCATGGGTCAGGGGGCCTCCTTCACAGGACACCCAAGTCCAGCTGGAGGAACTGGCTTTCGTAAGGCAATAGGAAGCCACAGAAACAGGAATGAGACATGATGAGGTTTGGGTCTTGAAAAGACCAACATGGCAGGGGGACGAGGAACAGACTGGAGGGAGGCAAGATGGAGGTCAGCTGGGAGTTTCTGCTGAGGTCCAGGTGGTGGGGAAAGAAGCAATGGACTGGAAAAGTATTTAAGCAGCATAAAAGGGAAAATTATTTTGCCATTCAAATGATCATTTTGTTATTGATCCGGATTTTCGTAAAGGTAGGTTTTGTGATACACAGCTCGTGAAATGACCACATGAGAATTTTTCTAGTAAGACAACATTTGAAAATTAAAATTTCTTTGTAACAAGTGCAATGAAGAGGAAACATCTGTCAAATTTTAAAACCTTTATTCTTACTTTCAGAGAATTCTAAAAAGATACACAGATGAACTCTGACAACATATGGATTTAAAATTCTAAAAATAATTTCACAGCAGGAAGAACGCTTATACTTATTTCAGCAATATGTATATATTTATTCAAATACTAGTATAAAGATATAAATGTATACTTCTGAAATATTCTAAAAATATAACCTAAAAAGGAAAATCTTTATAAAATATACAGAAATATATAGTACACCTTTGGGAAAAGTGGTAGTAAAAATATGTGTAAATAAACCATATGTAAACAAGTTTTAAGAAAATTTTTATAGGTATTGCAGAAATCTCTATGCATTTTCCATTTATGAAACCATACTGTCCCAAGGAGTTCAAGTCACAGAAGATGGGTTACACAGGGAGGACAAAAGTAGGTTTACAGTTTTAAGTATACAAAAGAGTTTATTCTTGTATTATTATTTATTAATTATTTGAGCAACTGTAAACCTACTTTTGCACTGTCCCATATAGTTAATCTATAATGTATGTACACTTTGCTACTGTCCCACTCTATAGATGGGGAAATTAAGGCATGGGAAGTCACTACATGTTTTTAATCTGTGGCTGAACAATAATATTGCCCCAAGCCACAGATCATAAATGAAATACCATACATTTTAAAAAATGACATAAGCAAATTGCTATTAAAATACACCCATACACATACAATTTGAAACTGTTGCTCCAGCTCCTTAATGCCATAGAAAAGATACATGCACTAAATAAAGAACTTCAGGATCCTTTAACCTAATGATGCCACAGTAAGCCATTAAGGTCTTCTTAGAGAGGAGATTCTGACTTCATTAAAGCACTTCTTAAAATAGAGGTGTCCTCTCATTTCCCAGTGATGTTCCTACTTCGAAGCGCAGTGGCCCCGGGACCTAATAACTTCAGCCAACATTTGGCTTTGCTGATGTTAGTAAGCAAATGTTTTCCAAATAGCACATTAAGCAGAGTTACAATAAATGGACCGTCGATATTACCCCGAGCCCCAGACAATGGAGCTATGGCAGGTGTTTCATTGTGATTCTGTAAACTTATTCGGGAGCAGGAAAGATTCAAGCGGAGAGCTGGGTGGGGCAGGGACAGACACATTTGACTTGTACCCGACTAACTGACATGGAAAATGCAGGAGGAAGCAAGATCCTAGGCAATTTAAGTCAGGATGGAGCTGACATTGGTCAAGTGTAGGCCAGCACTGTACCCTGTGGAGTGCCCGTATTGTAGCACACACTCCGCTCCCCTGAGTCAGCTATCTTCACTGCTGTCACGGACAGTGCAGCTTCTGGAGCAGCTGAACAGAAGAAAGAAATCAACACAAGCGTCTCAGGGTCCCATGTGCCTGTGAAGTTCGCAGCTGAGTCTTGCGGGAGCCACAGCACCATTCCTGCAAGAGAATAAAAATTGTTGCTCCAGGTCTTGGTAAAAATAAATAAATAAATAAATAAATAAATAAATCTGGAAAATAAAGTATATTCTAATGGTATATCAAAGAAGTGTAATTAAATGAGGAATTATCTGCAAAAAAAATGCTTAAACCAGAAATTGTCTTGGGCTCTTGACAAAGGTGTGGTTCGTCAACAGAAACATGCATACTGTCCTTGCTGGAACCTGGGAGTTTCAAAATTCAGCTAGAATTCCTTCATTATTCTACTTGATTCAGGGCTGTTGAGATGCTCAACTTTGAATATATTGTATCTTGGGACCAGACACCTGGGGAGGGATTCAGTGAGGCCTCATTCAGAAATTCCACCTGTAACTGCGTGTTTCCTTAAATAGCCGCCTATCAGCAATGCCCCTTAACTCAGTTAGTAAATAGCCACTAGTTCTAGGCAAAATTTTAGGAGATTGTGTTGAAAACGCAGAACGGTTGAAATTGAGTTTGAACATTAACATGGAATTCTATCATCTTGTGTGTTGGAAATGTTATATTTCCACAGAAGATGGTATTAGAGATTTCTCAGGCTAACTTTTTCCCACTTCAATAATGAACAGTGAGTGCAGGAGAAGTATTACATTGTGTTTAATACAGGCTGGTACATATATACACACATATGTCCGGGGTCTGTAAAGAAAGGCCCTGTGGCCAAATAGTGCCCACCATCTGTTTTTATAAAGTTTTATTGGAATGCAATCTTGTGAGGCAGAATAATGGCCCTCAAAAAAGCCTGTGCCCTAGTTCTCGGAACCTGTGAGTATATTTCTTTACATGGCAACATATGACTTTACATGAATGCATTGCTTTGCATGCCTTTGCAGATGTGATTAAGGTTGTGGACGCTGAGATGGGGAGATTATACTGAATGACAGCCTGCCAGAGAGATAGGACAGAAGGAGGGGTTGAGTTTCGAGTCTGCAGAGGGACTCAGCTCACTCCCGGTAGCTGTGGAGAGGGAAGAAGAGGTCATAAACCCAGAAATGCAGGTGACTCTAGAAGATGGGAACAGCTTTCAGCTGACAGCAAGGAAATGGGGAACCTCAGTCCTACAACCACAAGAAACCAAATTCTGCCAACAACCCCAATTAGCAAGCAGATAGATATTCCCTGAGAGCCTCCAGACAGAACCGCAGCCCTGCCAACACCCAGATTTTTAGCCTGGTTAGAGCTGTGTCCGACCTCTGACCTAAAGAACTGTAACACAATACATTTCTGTTATTTGACGAATTGCCTGAGGCTGCTTTCAAGCTATAAGGCAGGGTTAAATGGATGTGAATGAGACCTTATGGCCTGAAAAACCTGATATATTTGCATGGTGGCCCTTTACAGAAAAAGCGTGTCTGCCCGTGATATTAAATGCAAAAACTGGACAGCAGCGTGCATGACTTGAACACTTAGTTGATGCCAGGCTCTGGGCTAAGTATTTATTATCCATATCAACCTTCTGGATGAATACTACTTTGGTTCCCATGTTACAAGTGAAAAATTTAAAAGGGAGGCAGAACGGTTAAGTAACTACCCAAGGTCATCCAGGGAATGGGTGGGGAGCAGGGTTCAAGCCCGGGTCTGGCGGACTTCTGGGCTCGGCTCACCCCTGTCATGCACAGCATCCCAGATGCTCACCTGAGGCCGCTTATCGCTGGCAGAAGGCGATGGGGAGCTCCCGGCTGGGCACCAGGATCCCTAAGTGCAGCATTTCCACAGGCTCGTGGTCCGTGGCCACGATGTCATATTTGCGGACGATCTGGAACACAGGTGCACACAAAGGAGAGTGAGCCCTCTGCCCCGCCTTGTGGAGCAGCACAGAACACAGGCGGGAAGCAGTGAGGGCTTACCCAGCAGACGGCCAGGTGGAGCTGGAGCTCAGCCAGCCGGCGTCCGATGCACATCCTCTTCCCAAGGCCAAACGGGAGGTGTGCGAAGGGGTTGATCTTCTCTTTCTCTTGAAGCCATCGTTCGGGCCTAAACTGACTGGCGTCATCAAAATTTTCCTCGTTGGACCCCAACACCTGGGTATTTAGCATCAACACTGTCTGCAAACACACCAAAACGCATGCATTTAAAATAAGCAGAAGAAGGTGGTGGAAAAGCAAAACTTAACAAAAACAGCCACCTTAGAGATATAAAAGTCACCCATAAGTTTATAATAATGACGATTGCCAATATGCATGGGAGACCTGAAATGTGCCAGGTACTAAATCGGTAAATAACTTTAATATTCTGCATCACATTCTCACAACAGCCCCAGGTGATAGATTTTATTATTATCCCCATTTTACAGATGAGAACGGTGAGGCTCCCAGAGGTTATATGACTCACTCGGGTCCATACTTTCTGCTTACGTGAAGAGTTGCTGCATTAAGTTCTAAGCCCAAAGGGGAATCTGGTCACAGTTCTTCGTAAAGAGGTTCTGTCTCCTGTTTTTATTCCTTATTTTATTGGGTTGGCACCCCTTCCCCCCAGAAGTAGCTGTTCAGAGTGGTTTCCCTGCTTCAGCCTAAACTTCAAATGCCTTCCCCCTGAATCTTGATGTTTGTTCTAGGTTTCTCCTACTCACTCTTCAGAAAGTTAAAGATATTTCCTTTCAATCCTAAAATGGAATGAGTTTTGTTTCCCAGAAAGGGTGTAAAAAGAATTTTCAAAGGACATTTTTAATAATTTATTTATTTTATTTTTTTGTTACTCCTCACCTGAGCATATTTTCCATTGATTTATAGAGAGAGTGGACGGGAAGGGTGGGTGAGAGAAACAGAGAAAGAGAGAAACATGGATGTGAGAGAGACACACTAATTGGTTGCCTCCCACACTGGCTCCGAACAGGGTCAGGGATCAAACCTGCAACCCAGGTTCGTGCCCTTGATCAGGAATCGAACCCTCAACTCCTTGGTGTGTGGCCCGATGCTCTAACCACTGAGAACACTGATCAGGGCTTTGGGGACACTTTATACCAGAGGCTCAATAATAAAGATGTCTCTATGTCTATCATATAATAATATGGTTCCCTCATTGGCTTTCATGTCAGAACCTCCAGGCCTGCCCAGACCTTCTGCTTACGTGAAGAGTTGCTGCATTAAGTTCTAAGCCCAAAGGGGAACCTGGTCACAGTTCTTCGTAAAGAGGTTCTGTCTCCTGTTTTTATTCCTTATTTTATTGGGTTGGCACCCCTTCCCCTCAGAAGTAGCTGTTCAGAGTGGTTTCCCCTGCTTCAGCCTAAACTTCAAATGCCTTCCTCCTGAATCTTGATGTTTGTTCTAGGTTTCTCCTATTCAACTCTTCAGAAAGTTAAAGATATTTCCTTTCAATCCGAAAATGGAATGAGTTTTGTTTCCCAGAAAGAGTGTAAAAGGAATTTTCAAAGGACTTTTTTATTATTATTTATTTATTTATTTATTTATTTATTTTTGTTACTCCTCACCTGAGCATATTTTTCCATTGATTTATAGAGAGAGTGGAAGGGAAGGGGGGAGTGACAGAAAGAGAGAGAGAGAAACATGGATGTAAGAGAGACACATTGATTGGTTGCCTCCCACACTGGCTCTGAACAGGACCAAGGATCAAACCTGCAACCCAGGTACCTGCCCTTGATCAGGAGTCGAACCCTCAGCTCCTTGGTGTGTGGGCCGATGCTCTAACCACTGAGAACACTGATCAGGGCTTTGGGGACACTTTATACCAGAGGCTCAATAATAAAGATGTCTCTATGTCTATCATATAATAATATGGTTCCCTCATTGGCTTTCATGTCAGAACCTCCAGGCCTGCCCAGACCCTAATGAGTGCTCATAGCACCCATGAGAAGATGGTTCTTACCGACTTAAAGGGCCCGTCACTGACTTTCCAAGATGTCACAGAATTCTCCCAAATGACTCAGGAAATGAGTGAAAAAAATGGAATATGCTCCTGAGATTCTTTTTTTCCAGTTTGATAAAAGTTTAAGAATCAACTATGGGAGCTGTACTTGGGGGGGACCCCCTTATTGTGTATTTAAGAGGACAGCGCTCTCCCGTATGCACCCTGGCTCAGGCGTGGGTGCTTACCTCATGGATTCTTTCAGACAGGCCTTCAGATATGGCATATTCCTCACATCCTCTGCCCGCGGCACCTGATTCTCAGGCAGGACGCTCTGAATTTCCTCCAGGAGCTTTTCTTGCACGCGGGGGTTGCGGGATAAATTGTAGAGAAGCCACAGCAAGCTGTTCGCTGTCTGAAAAACCAACAGACACCAGCTTGAGTTTCTGCAAAGAAACCGCCTCACAGCCAGTCTGAGCCGGACGCAAGGTGATGCATAAAGTAAACAACAAACAGGTCAGTGATACTTTCTCGCAGGCCCTCGCGTGCTGTGCCTTAAATGAATACCACGCATGGGAAGTCAAATGGCTCTTATAAAATGTATCAACGAAGGCTAGTGTCTGTATTGAGGGAACCAAAATAGAATCCTGTCAGTAATTTGCCACATCAGGACACTGGGAATATGGTGTGGTACACAAAGGCTGGAGCCACAAAGGATCGCATGTAAAACCGGTGGAAGGGAAGCCAGGCGGGTGGACTGGCTCAAGGCCAATGTCAGGGTGTGATAACGATTATTGTCATGCCAGGTGCTACCAACGGGGGAAGGACACTGCATGTGAATCTATAATGATCTCAAAAGAAAAAGAGTTTACTTAGAGAATTATTAATATAAAATTGATATGAAAATTGAGTGGGGAGAGAGGAATAGAGGTCCCAGAGTTTTGCTATAAGAGATTTTAAATTTCTTTTTTTCCAGTTTGATAAAAGTTTAAGAATCAACTGTGGGAGCTGTACTTGGGGGGTGGCGGGGGACCCCCTTATTGTGTATTTAAGAGAACAGCGCTCTCCCGTATTCACCCTGGCTCAGGCGTGGGCGCTTACCTCATGGATTCTTTCAGACAGGCCTTCAGATATGGCATATTCCTCACATCCTCTGCCCGCGGCACCTGATTCTCAGGCAGGACGCTCTGAATTTCCTCCAGGAGCTTTTCTTGCACGCGGGGGTTGCGGGATAAATTGTAGAGAAGCCACAGCAAGCTGTTTGCTGTCTGAAAAACCAACAGACACCAGCTTGAGTTTCTGCAAAGAAACCGCCTCACAGCCAGTCTGAGCCGGACGCAAGGCGATGCAAAAGTGAACTACAAACAGGTCAGTGATAATTTCTCGCATGCCCTCGTGTGCTGTGCCTTAAATGAATACAACGCATGGAAAGTCAAATGGATCTTATAAAATGTATCAACGAAGGCTAGTGTCTGTATTGAGGGAATGAAAATAGAATCCTGTCAATAATTTGCCATATCGGGACACTGGGAATAGAGTGTGGTACACAAAAGGCTGGAGTACAAAGCAGCGCATGTAAAACCGGTGGAAGGGAAGCCAGGCGGGTGGACTGGCTCAAGGCCAATGTCAGGGTGTGACACGATTATTGTCATGCCAGGTGCTACCAACGGGGGAAGGACACTGCATGTGAATCTATAATGATCTCAAAAGAAAAAGAGTTTACTTAGAGAATTATTAATATAAAATTGATATGAAAATTGAGTGGGGAGAGAGGAATAGAGGTCCCAGAGTTTTGCTATAAGAGATTTTAAATTTTTTTTTACAGCGCAAACACAAAAGAAACCATATTTCTGGAATTTAAAAGAAAAGTGTGTGTTTTTTTGCCACACCCTAAACATTTACCACAAAAATATAAAGGTATTATCTACTCTCGGGGTTCCAGCCACATGCAAAGAGCCCTCGTGGGACGGTGCCAACACCCAGATGAGAAATTGTAGCACCGAGCCGAGTCATTCAAGGTGCCGGCCACAGTCTGACAAAGGCTCTTGCCTTCCAAGTGGCACCCTTGATTTCCTTTTGGCGGAAACAGCCAAGTGCAGCTTTTAGCTTCGTAATATTCACCGCTGCTAGTCCTAAGTATTTGTTTCGTAGGCCTTTTTTTTAGCCAATTTAAGCCAAGTAGTCCCTTACAAGTGGTCATCGTGTCCTCGCTCTGTAGACACGAAGACGCTCTCCCTCGGCACATGTGCCAGGCACATGAACGAGCAAAGCGCAAGACGGTTCGGAGCCATGGCGTTTATTATTTTTGGAAGAAGATGTCCCCAAGGCAGGCTTCTTCATGTCAGGGGACTGGCAGCCTCGCCTCCAAATGTGGACAGATGGCATTAGTACCAGAGAATAAGTTACAGACAGGAAGGGGGCGGAGCCGCCAAATTAGATAGATTTCAGATTTCCCCGATTTGCCAAAGGAGACTTTCAGAATAGCCAGGACTAAAAAAGAAACAGATTGAGCCCTATCAGTGAGGCCCTCACCACAAGTACCAAATAGAGTTTCCAAAAGGCAGATAACTGTAGCTTTCACCAAAGCCCGGAGACAGCCCTGCCTGTCGGGGCAGCTGCGGGGGCTAAGTGGAGGGGAAGTGGCCTGCGGAACCTCCCGGGCACCGACTGTCCTGGCCTGACCTTCGTCACGGCGTCCATCTCATGGCCGGCTTCCTGCCTGCACTCTGTCTGCACTCTGTCTCCGCTAGGTCCACTCTCCACCCACCAGCCAGAGCCCACTTCACAAAACATAAATTTGATCAAGACACTCCTTGCTTAAAGCACTCGAAGAGCTTTCTCTCTCAGGTGTAATAAAATCCAAATGTTGTACGAAGGCTCCTGGTTAACATGGCCCGTCGACTTCTCCAATCTCAACTCTGAGCACATTTGCTAGTTCTCCATCTCCATCTCTCTTTCTGCCCCAGGGCCTTTGCATGTGCTGTTTCCTCTACTTGGAGTGCTCTTCGACCAGATCTTCCCATGGATGGCACCTCAACATCCCAGTGTCAGCTCCAGAGAGGGAGCCCTCCCCCATCTTTCTTACATCACCCTGATGGCTCCCCCCATGCCTATACCACTATCTGAAATAATCCTATGTATTTGTTTGTTTACATGTCTATTGTCTGTTCCGCACTGCTGTTTAAGTCCCATGAAGAAAACTGGTTCATGGTGGCATGTCAAGAATCTGGAATAGTGCCTGGCACATAGTAGGAACTCAATAGTCCCTGAACTCTTTCATTTATTGAACAAACATTTATTGAGCACCTACTGTATGCCAAGTGGTATTCTACATCCTATGAATACAGCAGGGGACCAAACCAAGTCACCACCCTCATGGAGCTCACGTTCCAGTTGAACAAAGAAATGGGTGCAGCTTTAGTTTTAATCGCTCTAAGGAGTCATGATCCCACAGGAAAGTGAGCTGAAACGGATTCCCACTTTTGATAGCCTTCTGGGTCAAGAGGTGAAATCAGAACCTTTCTATCTCCTGATGTAGAAAATGCTATATTTTTTCTTCAGGTAAGAGACACTGTGGAAAGGGGAAAAGCATGAAAAAGAAGTGAACTTGTATGGATTCTTCTTAGGGACTGTTTGTGCAGGAAATGTTAGGCCTTTGAGGAATATTAATCTGCATGACTCCAAGGAGAGCTCAGCAATGAGTCAAAGCCAGGTAAACCCACCTGAACACTTGTCAGCATCTGTGTTTGGAGCCTGACTGTACAAGTACCTACCAGGAGCGTCCACCGCCTACAGCAGGGATGGAATCTTGGTATTAAAAAGGAGCTGTTTCGGTTAAACTAAAATCAGTGATTCCCAAACTCACCATGTTTCCAATGTCAAACATAAAGAAATTATTGGACTGGCAGAGATTCCATATTTTTATAATAAATAACAGCCACGGTTAGGTAGCATGCACGACCACTCAAGGCAGGTCCAATTTTTGAAAATCTAAGATTTCAATTGCTGTGGTGTGGAATTACTGCGTCTGCATTCCTGAGACAGCTGGCAAGCTTATCGCAGAGCTTAGACCCTGCTCTGGAGTTCCGTCGCTAGGACAGAGTCATTAGGACAGTTTTCCTCCTAATGTGTGAGCAGAAAGCCTGTGCATTGGGTCTCCCACGGCACCTGGTGAGAGACTTTTTATTTTTGTTCAGCTAGAGCTCAGTTAATCCTCGTGAAATGAGTGAATTGAATGGCTATTTAAAACTCATCGTGATGAAAGGTGTCCCAGACTATTTAGCAAAGAAAGCCGCCACCCTTACCGTCTCCACGGCAGCCAGCTGGAGCTCTGTGACGGCTGCGTACAGCTCTTTCTTTGAGAGCTGATTGCGGTGGTAAATGTCACAGAGGAAGTCCGCACTGGGCTGCTCCACGTGCTTCTCTAACCGGCGGTCAATGCAAGATTTGACTGTTGAAGAAGAGAAGAGGGAGAGGAAGTCAGCTGAACATTAGGGAGAGGAAAAGAATGGGAGGGAGGGAACCTAAGATGAAATCCTTACAACACCCGAAAGGGCTTTTGGGGACATTGATTGTTAGATGAGCTCCTACTGGCTCGTTGAGTCATCCAGGATGGATGGATGCTCACGTGACCTGGGCATCTTCCTACAATGCAGATTCGGAACTGAGGGTCCAGGTGGGCCTGGACGTCTGCATCTCTAACAAGCTCCGGGTCATGCTGTTGCTGCTGATCTGTGGTCACATCTTGACTAGCAAGAGCTTAGAGCAGGGAGGAGACCATTATGACACAGGTGGGATCTGGGTCCACTCTCAGAATCAGGTCCAGGTGTCTAGCTGATCTGGTCACTGATACAGGCAGATATGCTAATATAGGTGCGGCTCCCAAATCTTGGCTACGGAGGAGGGAAGAACACCCTCCCCTAATGTTATTACTCACACACACACACACACACACACACACACACACACACACACGTGCAGTGCCCATGAATGTTGACAATAATACTAACATTTTCTAATGTTTGTAAATTACATTCTAGGCTGCCCTCCCTCACTTCAGTCCCTGACGTGAGCCACCACCAAGGAAATAATAGTGGTGATGGTGGCAATGACAATGACGACACTAGTGGTACAGGGGCTGGAGGCTGAGCTGCGGGAGCCTTTCTGATTGGCTTCCAACCCTGGCTTTGCCATCACCAGGTGTGTAATGTTGAGAATGTTACTTAACTTCTTGGTGCCTCAGTTCTGTTAGTACTTGGGGCTGATGGAAGGATTTAACATCAGTTTATTGGTGGGAATTAAATAAGTATGTTTAAAATATATATAATATATTATCTTAGGATAACCCCTAGCATCAAATATTCCCTCCATAATGTAGCAGAAATGGCTCTGATCCATTGAGATACTGTCATATGCCAGGCTTTTACATTCTCTATGTTAGACCTAGAAACAATTACATTGAGGGGAGCACTATTATTATTGTTGTTGCTGCTATTGTTGCTGTTGTGAGCCCGTTTTAGAGGTAAGACAGCGGATGATGAAAAGGAGACAGCACCCTGGGCCAACCCGCCACCCCACTGACAGACCGGGAGCTTGAACCCAGGTATCTCCGACTCCAAGGCTCTCACATTTAACCTCTTCTGTTTCCTCAAGACAACACAACGCCGCCTCCTGCCTTTTCCTTGGAATTTGTCTACACCAGGGTGATCCCCACACTTGTGTTTGAAAAGCCCGGAAGAATCAGGAGGAGCAACTCCATCGGAGGATCTAGGGGGGCAGGCCACAAGGTCACTGCAGGCCTCTGGGCGGCAGCAGGAGACAGCGCTGGGGGTGGCAGTTACCTGACTTGAAAATCGTGTCCCAGGCCAGCGTGTGGGCCTGCCACACCTTGGTGTTGAGGCTCTTGTGCAGCTCCACCGGGGTGACCATCATCCTCCCAAATGTGCTCATCATCTACGAGGAACACACGTGCTTTTCATCACTGTTTCTTTCCAAGACAACTTTCACTCAGGTCTAGGGACAGCTGCACACGGCACCCTGTGCTCCCCAAAGGCCAGAATTCAAAGGACACCCCCAGGCCCCTGTGCTCTGCTCTTGGAAGCCGAACCCCCATAACATATTCAAAATCATCTTTGGGACGATTGATTTTTCAATGGAGTTGAATAACAACTTGCTCTTATAACCCACATGTTGAGAAAGAAGGGGCCCTGCTGGCGTGGCTCAGCAGTTGAGCATTGACCTATGAACCAGGAGGTCATGGTTCAATTCTCAGTCAGGGTCCATGCCCGGGTTGCGGGCTCTATCCCCAGTGTGGGGAGCTCAGGAGGCAAGTCGACCCATGATTCTCTCTCATCACTGATGTTTCTCTCTTCCTCTCTCTTCCTCTCTGAAATCAATAAAATATATTTTAAAAATAAAGAAAAAAGTAACTATAACTTACACTCACTTGAATTTCTGAACTTCAGCCATTCCCATGCCAGTTTCACAGTATCTATTATATCCACACACAACCCAAATGATTCAAAAATTTAAAATCTGAACATTTTCAGGCTTTTGAAAACAGTAAATTAACCAACTGACCTTTAATTGACCCACCTAATTTAACTTTGCCTAAACAATAGTCTAATGTACTTCTTTATTATATGTGCACAGGGGCACATCCATGCCCGAAAATACATCGCACACACTGAAATGCACCATTGTAGTAAGACTTGTGTGCATCCCTGTCCTGGGGAAACTGCGATGCCTGAATGATCTGTTGGGAGCACGGCTCTCCCCTGTGGATGCTCACTGTTTTGATGGCCATGATGAAGTTCAAGGCTTCATCCCCAGCGTTCTTCTGGAGGAGCCCAAATCTCTTCTCGTAGAGCACAAGGCAGATGCCTGTTAATAAAATAATGACCACTGTTACCCAATCTGGACTCCGTGACTACCTGGCTACTAAGGGCTCAATTCCATCTCTCAGAGACATGAGGTCATTTCTAAGGACACAGGAGCAGCGAAGGGTCTGAGCGTCTGATCACCCTTCTAGAAATTATCTGCAGGTCCAATGACCCAGGCCCTGCAGAACCTCGTTGTCAGAAATACCACTGTGCAAACGCAGACATTTCCATACATGAATGAATCTCTCCTGTATGTCTTGCTTTTGTCAGAGTTTATCATTGACATCACATGCAGCAGACACCGTGAATGGCCTACCCGGTACTGGTTCTCCTTCATTTCTTCCCTAAGACACCCGGATTCTATTTAGGGTGTCAGAGTACCAGTGCTCAGGCAGTGAGTCAGCATGGATCTAAGACTCTGACAAGCCTGTTCCCTGATTCCCTGGCTTCCTGGAGCCACAGAAGCAGCCACACGACCCAGGTCTGGCCAGTGAGACCAGAAGGAAATACTCCTTGGCTTTCTAGATAAAGTGGGAGCTGTACTCTCTTTTCTTCTCCCTTTGCCTGAAAGGCAGAGGGGAGGCTGGAGGGGCAGGACCCTTTTTGCATCAAGCCAACAAGTAAGGCTGGATGAGTGAGCAGATGCCCGAGCTTGGCTCCCCCGCGGTGTCTCTGAGTGTGGCCCGGACTGCCTTCCTCTGGACTTCCCGCAAGGCTACACAGTAATTTTTAAACCGCCGCAGTCAGATTCTCTTTGACTTGCAAACAGATGCATTTGATACTCCTTCATTTGAGTATTTACAGTGGGCAAGTTCCAAAACATACGCTTATTTTCTCCTCTATAATCATTGCCTCTCTTCACCCCTCTTTCCCTTAACACCTTCTGTGGGTTTCTTGTTTGCATGGAGCTTTCTCATGGGCTCAGATGACTGGTCCGTAACTTTAAAGTGAGGTGACAGGTCAGGGCAAAAGCTACCACCTCGGGGTGCCGTGTCCACTCCCTCCCATCAGTAGCCAGAGTGACCCTGGCAGCAAATCAAACCATGCCACCCTCCTGCTAAAAGCACTTACTGTCACTCCCAGGTACTCCCAGGTTCAAAGTCAAACTCTGTCCCTGGTTTACATGGGTTTGCATGGCTGGCTGCTGCCTTCCTCCCAGCCATCCTCTGCCTCTCCCTGCCCCTCCCTCCCTCCCTTGCAGGATATGCCCCGGTCGTTCTAAATGCCTCCCTGTTCCTTCAACATAATCTCTGTTTCTCCACCTGGAACATTCCTCCTTCCCTCACTCTCACCTGGCGAACTCAAACTCTGTCCCTGGTTTACATGGGTTTGCATGGCTGGCTGCTGCCTTCCTCCCAGCCATCCTCTGCCTCTCCCTGCCCCTCCCTCCCTCCCTTGCAGGATATGCCCCGGTCGTTCTAAATGCCTTCCTGTTCCTTCAACATAATCTCTGTTTCTCCACCTGGAACATTCCTCCTTTCCTCACTCTCACCTGGCGAACTCCTCCCGCACTAGCCGAGATGGCACCTACTCCACAGAGCACCCCCAGACGGAGCTCAGCTGCATCCCTCTGGGATTCACCCACAGCCCTGAACCTGCTTAGTCTATTGAAATTGCCTTGCCGGTGCCCTACTGGGCAGTGAGCTCATCCAGGCAGGGCTCTGCTTCTCATTCTCAGAGCCATCCTTGAAGAGAGTGATCACATCCCCTTCTGTTTAAAAGTCTCCATGGCACCCCAATGGGACTCAAACTAAAAGTCCTTGCTGGGATCTACAGGCCCTGGCTTGGTCTTTCTCAGCTCCTCCTCCCCCTGCAATCCGCTCACACCAGCATCTCGGAGTTCCTCAAAGGCATGTTCATGCTTCTGCCCCCGGGCATTTGCACTGCCTGTCTCCGCTCTCTGGGACAGTCTTCCCACAGATACCTCTGCGGTTGCACCTCCCCTTCTTTAGGTCTCAGCTCAGGTGTCTCCTTACCAAAGCGGAGTTGCCCCATCGAGGCACCTATGTTCTTTCCTGGGCCCCTTTCCCCTTGGCAGAGTCTATATTGAAATGTGTTTACTTGTCAATTGTCAGCCCTACTAGAACCCAAGCTCCATGTGAGCAAGGATGCTGCCTGTTTTACTCAATGCTGCGTCCCTAGCACGGTGCCTGGCACACAGCAGGTGTTCAGTAAGTGTTTGTCGAGTGACCACACAAACAGCCCAGCGTGCAAAGCAGAGCTGAGTGCGGAAAGCATTAAGACGACTGCTGTGGCCTTTCCCACTCAGAATAGCACACGATTCCAAAGAGTTGTCAGCTTGTTCATGGAGCCACATTTTATCCTCAGAATCACTTGCAAAGTCAAATGGTCGAGACCGTGGAGACCACTTACTTTCAAATGACCATTTGTTCAGCTCGCTGTACAAGTCTCCAATGTGGCCTCTCTTGTCACAGAGCTCATCTAGTCTACCCATAAAATCAGCCAAGACCTTAAGAGAAAGAAACCACAAAAACACATTTTAGTCTTTGAGGGAAAACAAAAAATGTAGAGCAGCGAGCTAACCTCAGGTCTCACTGCCTTGTGTATTCCCTGGCCAGACGGCTGCCCCCTCTGCAGCAGCACTAATTCTATATTTTCCTGGGGAGCTCACCTGACACCCTAGCAACCTTGTCCTGGGTTATTTCCTCAGCGTTTCCTGCGGCCACCCTGAAGCTAAGGTTTCAGCCTTTGATCTAAATTTAAAGAAAGGAAAACATTTCTTCTAATCTGAACGGGGAGTAAACCACAAAGGGGAAATCAGTCAAGTGTCGCTGTTGGCACAACATCTCAAAGGCTGTGATGCTATGACTACGCTGAGGTTTGCCGTTTCCATATCTGGGCAAGCAAACCTCTCTTTACTGATTGGTACTGTGTTAGGCGTGTTGAGCTTGGAGCCAGGAGATCTGCAATTCTGGACGCAGCTCCCTTGCTAAATGGCTCTGTGACCTTGGACGAGTTATGTAAGGCCATTAGATGCCAGTTTCCAAAATCAGGGCTTTGGATGACTAAAGCCTCTCATTTCCCGAGGCTTCCATAGAACCACGCGCTGTACAAAGGGATGTTTTCTTAGCTGATCCTTACAATCTTGTGAGGGAGAACATCCTGTCATTTCTCCCATTTCCCAGGTGAGAAAACAGAGGCGTAGAGAGAGGCGAAGGCACTGGCCCCTGGACACAGAGCTGAGAAGCGCCTGTGCTGGGCCTGGAACAAAGCCCGGGCGCCTACCCAGCCCACCGTGGAGACAAGGATGTTTAGTTTGCTCACATGGTGCATTCAAATGTATTCGAATTAGTTACCATAAAATTTAGAGATTTCGCATGAACATATCGATTTTCCACTACTTGTCAATAACAATAATAAGAATAAGTAACTATAGGATCTGGCGACAATAACAATAATAAGAATAAGTAACTATAGGATTCCACTACTTGTCAATAACAATAATAAGAATAAGTAATTACAGGATCTGGCGACATCCTGTCAGCATTCCCATGGGGCAGTCATTTGCTGGAACTGGGACAGCTGTCACCTCCAGGAAGGGCACACGCTATTCTGTTGGCTGAAACCCCTACAGGGCCTGCCCTATGTGTTTATATTAATTACGTGGCCCCTGGAAGTTTCTGAACCTGCCATCTTTCACCCACACAATCTATGTGGGTCCATGCTCAGTTCAAAATGAACACCTAGAGTGAACAGGAAGAATAAGAGATTATTACGCTTAAATCCCTTCCCCTTCAGCCCCTGTTGGCTAAATGATATGTCCAAACACCTTAGCACAGCACAGACCTGCCTTCTGTCCAGCATCATTTCAGAAAAGGCCCATGCTGAATGCACTATTCTCTCAACACTCCATGCCATGCCCTGCCCTGGCTCCATATTTGCATCAGGCTAGTCTTTCTGCCAGGATGCCTTTCTCCACCTTCTCTGGCTTGTAGACTCCTACTCACTCTGCAAAACCCAGCTCAAATGTCACTACCAAGGAACTTCATAAGCATTCTCTCCTTCAGTCATCACAGCAAACCTATGGAGTGAGAATTGCCACTCCCATTTTATAGATTGGGAAGCTGAGGCTCAGGGAAGTTAAATGGTCAGGTTACATCGGATGGACGGCTGATGCTCAAATCCAAGACTGTGGGATACAAAAGTCTGTGCTTGTAACTACTCCCTTAATGTGGTCTTTTAAAGAAAGGGGAGAGAAAGGGAGAATAAAGGCTTTGGGGGAGGAAGATGGGAAGAGGAATGAGGAGAACGTGAAGCCCCCGAGTCATCCAAAGTGCCTGCTTTGCCCTCTGCACTTTGTAGCTGTGACTTACAAACACCCCTCCCGCCCCAAGAGACCCTGGAAAGCTGGCCCCAGCCTGCAAACCTCATTGATTTTGCTGTCCAGCTTCATAATCTCCACTGGTCTCATTAGTTTCTTCTGAAAGGCACTCCGGACCCTCTGCCAGTCTTCTCCTTCCCTGGGAGAGAAATCTGTTTAGAGCAAGTTGCAAAGACCAGAAGGAAGAGGCAAAGATCCCTCCTCCCACCCCAACTCTGCTACTGCATGACTGTGTCATCAGATCAACACTGAGCATCAGCCAGGAAGTGCCCGGGTTCTGTTCGCACTGGAATACTGGGGCTAGCTTATGATAGAATGAGAAAGCACCTTTCCTCCCGGCCAAGGAAAGCACCAGAAAGGTGACGTCCAGATAATTTGGGGTCAGGGCTGTGGAGGTGTCCTTACTGGGTTTGAGCTGGGAGGCCAGGCACCTCAATTCCCAGCACTGAGAGTGGGCACCTGAAGGAACCCCGCCCCCCACCCCCTGAAACCCAGGTCTGTTTGAGGAAAGATCTTGTCTTCTTTCAACCCATTGACTTGGGTTGCAAGTCACACTTACATAACACCTCAGACTTAGAATCTTGCCATTGCCTGCACATAATACCAGACAGCCAGAGAGCCGCAGGCTTTGGAAAAAGCCTGTTCCATCAGACGCCCTTTCGAACTTGCCCACAGCTGGTGACACAGCCTGTGGTGCACCGAGCGTCACTATGCTTTTTTTTTCCTCAGTATATTTTATTGATTTTTTTTACAGAAAGGAAGGGAGAGGGATAGAGAGTTAGAAACATCGATGAGAGAGAAACATCGATTCAGCTGCCTCCTGCACACTCCCTACTGGGTATGTGCCGGCAACCAAGGTACATGCCCTTGACCGGAATCAAACCTGGGATCCTTCAGTCCGCAGGCCGACGCTCTATCCACTGAGCCAAACCGGTTAGGGCTCACTATGCTTTTTAATTCCAGTGATTGTCTCCCCAAAATATAACTATTAGACATTAAATTTGGGGGCAAAGAAGTGCTAACTTGTTAGATGGTGACAATGAAAAAGCAAAGGAATCACATCACATTATAGCATTTATCTATCGAAAATGCAACCTTGACACCCCTGCTCACCCCACCTTTCACCTACACCTAGGTCATCACCTCCACTCCCCTCCGGGAAAAAGGTCACGGTCAAAAGCAGAGGAAGTTAATTTCTGGCATGTGAGCTTCCCAGAGGGGGTTACAGAGAACTTCAAGGGACAGTGTAGTTTGTATAACACATTTGCTTGGCACGCTGACTTCAGAACCCCATCCCGCCACAATTTGTATAACGCTTTTTTGGCATTTGTCTGACGGAAAGCTTTGGCCCTGCCCGGTTGCCAGAGAGAACAGGTGTTAAGCAGGTGTGCGGTACAGCTGTCCCTCAACCCACTCAGGTCTACCAGGAGGACGCGACTACTGGGTAGCGGCTTTCGTGTCCTCTGCCTAAGATGGGTCCGACTCCCGGGAACAAGCTCTTCCCAGTTTCCAAGCGCATTAGGCGCAGTTGCCAGCCCCATGGCCCCACCCTGCCCCCCTCCCCGCCCGCAGACTCACAGGATGAGCAGCCCGTAGCCCTCCTGGCGGTAGTCGCGATAGGCCTTCCAGGGTTTGATCTCCAGCCGCTGCGGGTATGCGCTCTCCGTGCGGTACAGCGCTTCCAGCAGGCAAGGCGAGCCCAGGTGCACCGAGTCAAAGGAGCCCAACTTCATGCGGAAAATCTTGCCGTACTTCTTGTGGAACTCCGCCTGCAGCGGGCCGGGCACAGCGCCAAGTCAGCGCGCATCCCTGACAGTCCCTAGCGGGCTACTCCCTGCTCCCGCCTTCCCCCTCCGGGGGAAGCCCAGACACCCGGGCGCACCGTGCGCTCGGGCCGCTCGCCTCGGGGAGGGTTTGGAGCGCCCGCCGGGGAAGGGAGAGGGAATTGGGGCGCGACGAGGCATTTACCAGAGTGTCGTGCTGTTTCTTGAGCCCCCCTTTCCAGAGAATCTCCAGCAGGCTGCCCAGCAGCGGCGGCGCGCACGCCGTGGATGTCACGGGTCTGGGGGGCTGCCCGAGGCTGCGCAGCTGCTGTAGGAAGGCGACCAGGGAGCGACTCTTGCTGATGGGGGAGCTCATGGCCGCAGGGAGACGGGGCGCGGGGGACCACGCGGGGACCGAGGAGGGCGAGGCTGGTAAAGTGGCGCCCGCTGGGTTCGGGAGCGTGGCGATTCTGGGAAAGAGACAAGGAGGACCAGCAGATGCGATGGAGGGGGCGGAAGAGGGACAGAAAGGACCTGGGCGAGGATGCTCTGCGCTGCGCTGTGCTGCAACCTCAGGGCGCAGGTGACTGCCCAGCGCGGCCGCAGAGGCTGAAGGAGGGCAGCCGGGTCGGTGCCTCTTGGAAGACGGAGGGAAGGGATGTGGGTCTGCCTGTGGGTCTGCAAGTCTGACTTCTGGGTCTGGAGCCGCGAAGTGGAGATGTCAGGGAGGGTAGCGGAGATGCCTCCGGCTCTGCGGTTTTCCCTGGCCCTCTCCGCGATCCATGCCCGGGGACCAAGTATTTATGGAGACAGGCAGGCCCCGGGTGGCCAATGAGCACGCCGAGTGGGGCGGAGTGGGCCCTGGCTTGCCT